GTGGTCCAAAACTATATGGTAAAAAATATAAGTAGTAATATATTGCCTCCACAAGGCTTAAAATTGTCCTTTTGGTTCATAGATAAGGTCTGTAAAATTTTATCCATATTCATTAACATTTAGAGGTCAATCCATTTTGCATATTATACTTGTAGTGTAGGACTGAATTTTCTTGTCCGCATGATACAGTCTTAATATACACAACACATTATATTGGGTATATTTCAATGTATATAGCCAAGTTGCCTATTTGGAAAGGGCAAAGAGTCAAGTATTGAGTCATAGGGACTGACAATGACAGGTTGAAACAGGAAACACAGACAAGGGTTACCATTAATCAGATGAAGTTACTTATTTCATTTATATCTCATCAGTTCTACAATTATTTCATTATCAATCTAAATAGTATATTATGCAGGTTTCCATCTTGTGTCATGGCATATGAATGGCAGGCAATTATTACCTGTTAGAAATAATTAGACTTAGTTACAGATTTTGTAAGGATGTTGGCAACACTGATCTGGTTCCAGTGAGTGCGCAGGTCTGAGCCACTTTGGCAGCTCCTCAGTTGAGTTACAACCTCTGCAGGAGAAGGTGTGTATTTGCAAAGTCTTCAGTTTGATCTGTGGGTCAACTGGAAGTCCTGAGACTATTCTGTTTAAGCGCTTCAAAAAGCAGTGGAGGTCCATTTCGCTCAATGACTTCATTCCAGCACCAGAAAGCATGTTTGAGGACCCAATGCTTCAAATTCTAAGGAAGGAGTTGCTTGAATATTTGCCAGTAGCCCTGCAGGATAATCAGCCACGAGATGATTATAGGGAGTTTCTAGAACTAGCTCTTTTGTTTCTTGGTGGACTGCCAAGTAGTAAGGTTTCCTTTCGAGTTCCTGGTCCTACACACCATGCAAGATGGATGGCAAAAGGAATCTATGCTCTCAAAATCTATCTGTTCAAACATCAATTCACATTATCAACACGGGAAGAAAACAATATCACACAACTGGCTTTGTTTGTGAGCATAATGTATGAGAGATTCTGGCATGAAGCACCAATGGCTGTTCGAGCTCCATTCAATGATTTGCAGCTAATGAAGGTTTTAAAGGAATATCCTCATGAGAAAGTTGCACACGCAGCACAAGCAGCAATTAGCCGACATCTCTGGTATCTATCAGAACATCTTATCGGTCTAAGCTTATTTGATGACAGGATCGATACTGAAACCAAGAAGAATATGGTACAAAACTTCCAGTGCCCAAAGAAACAGGACTTTTCAAGGCGTATTGTCCTATCTGATGAAACTCCTATCAGTAATGTGGCCTCATTTGTTACTGAGCGTGCATTAGATATTTTTGATGTTCTTACACTAGATGGCAAAGAAAGAGCACAACTGTTCTTGAGTAAGGATCCCAAAACATGGAAAGACGATGAAGTGTTTATCACAATGAGAGATCGTGCGATAAATATGAAGGTGGTGAATGACAGCGCAGAGAGGGCAATTGCTCTCAAAGAGCGTTATAATGAGTCTATAACGCAAAATGAGGACCAAAAGCAGTACCTTTTACAGGTTGTTGCAGCTCATCGCAAGAAGTTACCAACGGCAAGCAAAGCTGCTATGATGAAGGGATACAAATAAAGAATGTGTATTGGTGTTCTAGAGTTATTTAGTTTGTAATTTGTAAAACTTATAATTGTATTTTGCTGAATAAAGACAATGTGTTTATAATGTGTTTATCTAGCCCCGAAAAATCCTTATTACATACTAAATGGAAAAAAAGAGGACATTGGATTGACCTCTAAATATGCTTTAAATGATCCAATTTTTTTCTGGGATGCATTTTGTACCTAATGGACAAAAATAAACCTTGTGGAGAAAACGTATACAAATATGTGATATTTTGGACCACCCTAATATATATATATATATATATATATATATATATATATATATATATATATATATACACACACAGTTGTACCCCACTTAACGCGGTCAATAAAACCCAGAGGGTACCGTGTTAAGTGAAAACCGCGTTAAGTGAACAACAGAACATATGGGATTAATTCCAATAGAAACCGGCCCGACCCCCAAACTCCACTTTTTGACGACACATAACTATGTTGTAGTAAAAATTTTATCTTAACTTTATGATGGTATGAAAAAACAAGTAATATAGAAGAGGTTAGGTTAGGAAAAATAAAGGTTAACATGGGAAAAATAAAGGTTAGGTTAGAGAAACTAAAAGTTAGGTGGAACACTTACGTTAGTAGAAGAGATGGGTCGGCGTACGGGGATGGAGGCTGGTTCCGAGGCAGAGGGCAGGCTACTGGCCCTCAGGTGAGTCACTATCACTGTCACCCACAGTTGTTATGGCCTCCCTGACAAATCCCTCAAAGTCATCTTCACTGTCTCTACCTCTGTCACTATCACTGGCTTGGGCTGGCTGTGGTGGGTTGCGGGCGAAGAACTCGGTTATGCTTTTTTGACGGCTGGTGTTTATGCTTTTTTAACGGCTGGTGTTTATGTTGTCTTGGTACACCGTGATGTACGGCTCCATAGCCTGCACCAGCCGGGTATGGAAGACTTCATAGCGGTCATTGTCGCGGGAAAGGACGGACTTCATTTTCTCTGCACACACTATGGCACACTTAATATCACTATGACTTAAACTGTGTTCTTCGGAGAATGACGCACCTTCTTCCTCCTCTTCACTGACGTGACCTTCTTCCAACATCTCGTCGGCAGTCACTTCAGGATCTCTGATCACCTCCAGGATGTCTTCGTTGGTGGTCTCGGAGAAGCCTTCAGCTGTAATATTGAGCGCAGCTTCTCTGGCAAGGTCCACTGCTACTGCAACAGTCTGAACCTCACCAGTCACAGGTTCACTCCTCCTCTCACCTGGTATGCCATGCAACACATGTCTCCATGCGTGACGAATCGTAGCAATAGTCAGCAGATCCCATGCCTCCACCAAGAAGTCTACAGCTTGTTTAACGTTAAACTTCTTCC